CGTGACCCCTTGGACCAGAGCACGCCAGGCACTCCTGTCTTCCACTGCCTCCCGCAGTTTGCTCAAACTCATGCTGGTAGCTTCGAGAACACTGTCTCACCATCTCGTCCTCCTTCGTCCCCTTCTCCTTGTGCCCTCCATCTTTCCCAACATCAGGGTCTTTTCCAGGGAGTCTTCTCTTCTCATGAGGTGGCCAAAGTCTTGGAGCCTCAGCTTCAGGATCTGTCCTTCCAGTGAGCACTCAGGGCTGATTTCCTTCAGAATGGAGAGGTTTGATCTTCTTGAAGTCCATGGGACTCTCAATAGTCTTCTCCAGGACCAGAATTCAAAAGCATCAATTCTTCGGCGATCAGCCTTCTTTATGGTCCAGCTCTCACTTCCATACATCACTACTGGGAAAGCCATAGCTTGAACTATACGGACCTTTGTTGGCAAGGTGATGTTTAAAACAGGTCTCAAGACCTTCCATGACCCCAGTTAATTTTATGGAAGCTGATTCTGTATTATCCTCATGGCTGTCTTGTAGCTCTGTTTGACACTCTTCCTGTGTTCACACACATTTTAAAGTGAAGATCTTCTAGACTGGGGTGTACTAGGGTGGTTACATGTAGTCAGAAACAGGTTATATTTATAATGCCTTTGGTTTGCACAGTGTGATGTGCCTTGAGATAATGGTCTCCAAGACTTGCCCTTGGTGTGTTAAATACCAATACTCTGCCTTTTAAAGTGGTCGTGATCAGAGTGCCCCTGGTCATGTGCAGAATGCTTCTCCCATTGCTGCTGAATATAATTTCAAGGAGCATCTTCCCCCAGCACATCAGTGAGGAGAGTGAGGAGGCTTCAGAGGTAGAGCAGTCATCTGAGAAGGATTTTTACCTGCTCCCCCCGGAAGTAATTCCTTTTGAAAAAGTTAAGGGAGCTATTGCCAGTCATAAGACAGGGCCCACAAGAGCAAAACATAAATGGAAAAGACAATTGAAAAGTCTGAGAAGTCCTGCCCACCTCTCTCTAACTGTATGGAGTGCCAGTGGTGAGTATCCAGGGCTCTGTACCAGCTTAGAAGACTGCTCTTCTCCAGCACATGCTCATCTCTGAGCTGCCGAAAGGAATCAAACTGGTCCATGAGATGCGGAGCTGAGACTGAATCTCTCACTGTAAATGCCCTTGTGCAGAGATGCTTTTCTAGGCTCTACTTTAGACTGACCCTTTTGAACTTAAGGGCTTTTTATGACATTTTAAGGAGGCATGTCATTGGATGAGTGGCACTAGCTGTATTGTAGTAGCACTGTGACCCAGTCTTGTGCCAATATGCCTGATGGTCACAATCTGTGCACCTAAGGCAGTGGTGGCGAACCTTTTAGAGACCAAGTGCCCAAACTGCAACCCCAAACCCACTTATTTATCGCAAAGTTCCAACACAGCAATTTAACCTGAATACTGAGAGGGACGCGGGTGGCGCTGTGGGTTAAACCGTCGGTAGTTCGAATCCCCGTGACGGGGTGAGCTCCTGTTGCTTGGTCCCTGCTTCTGCCAACCTAGCAGTTCGAAAGCATGTCAAAGTGCAAGTAGATAAATAGGTACCGCTCCGGCAGGAAGGTAAACGGTGTTTCCGTGCGCTGCTCTGGTTTGCCAGAAGCGGCTTAGTCATGCTGGCCACATGACCCGGAAAAACTGTCTGCGGACAAACATCAGCTCCCTCGACCAGTAAAGCGAGATGAGCGCCGCAACCCCAGAGTCAGTCATGACTGGACCTAATGGTCAGGGGTCCCTTTACCTTTACTGAGATTTTAGTTTAGAAAAAATAACTCATATATTAGCATCTTTTGTCGTAAAAGAAAAAAAGCAGCAACAGAGCTTTCAGTGATAGAAACAACTTTTTATTGAAAGGTAAAAGTTTGCATTAAGGATGATCCAAACAAAGTAAGGAAAGTAATCCCAAGTGCTTTCATTGACTTAAAATTATTTGGCAGAGAATTCCACACTTTAAGGATTCCCCACTTTTAAGCTCCAGCCCGAGCAAGCAAGCATTCTTGGCGTGGCCCTCTGAGCGTGTGCAGAGCGGTGCCCTCCCATCACACTGCCATTTCCTGAAAGGGCCCAAGGGCTGTCCCAAATGCTAGCCCCGCTCCCTCGCCCAGCCCTGACCAGCCCTTATGTAGGGTGTGTGAAGCCTCAACCTCCCAGCAGGAGGAGGAGGAAGGCGGCTGCTCGGAACTCTGGGCAACCCACCAATGGGGCAGCGTGCCTCTGAACTCGTGCAGAGCGGTACACCCTCCCCATCCACAGTGGAGGCTCCCCAAGGGAAACTGCGCACCCTGGAGGTTGTGGCTCCATTTTGCACCCCTCGATGCCCCATCTTAGGCGCGTCTACTCGGACACAAGTCCCAGGATCCATGCCCAGCCTCTAAAAACAACATCACACCTGCATCACATATCCGAATGAGACCAATGCCTCACCCGGCCCTTCCCTCTGCCCCTCCCTGGCCATGAGGCTGCCTTCTCGGTCTGGGCATCCCGTGCAGAGTGACTGAGCAAAAGCAGCCCTAAAGGCGCTGCAGCAGACAGGCCAGTTTGGGGATTTTGGCTCTTTACTGTCCTGCTTGCGCAGCACCCGAAACTGAGGGCCCACCAAAATCATTGCCAGTGCTATTTCGCAATCCACTTGCACAAAATACTAATTGCCACAATATGCTCCAGAAGCCTCCATGCAATTGGGTGCAATGAACTCAGACCAAAGAATAGCAGAGACCCCCATTTTGGAGAGAGTCGGCGCCCTTACGGACATCGCATCTCGCTCCTGCCGCGCAGTTTTCTATGCCGACCCGCTACGCACATGGTGCTCTGGCTGCCCAAGTTGAGCTGAGGACTCGACGCGCCACCTTCGCCTTCTGCCAGCTCTGTGCTGGGGCGACGGTGCGCGTGCCCACAAAGAGGGCTCTGAGTGCCCCCACCAGCAAGCATGCCATAGGTCGGCCACCACTGACCTAGGGTAACTTGCAATATGAGGTCAGATCTATAAACTGCTACATATGAAGGTAACCTGTATTGAACTTTTGTTTAGGTCTAAAGACCTATGACCTTTAGGTTTTCTAAGCCAAGAGGATTCATCGTTAAGCCTTGCAAGAACTGAAATGCTTTGACCAAATAAAGTCTAACGAAAGCAAGGCTCCTCTGCAAGTAAAATGAAGTGAAAGATTAGCTATAAGTCCAAGGTGTCTTTCATTCCTTCTATCCTTGAAAGTGCTTTAGCTGGGATAGGGCTAGCCAACATCGAGCTGTCCAGATATTGTTGTTGTTTAGTTGTGTCCAATTCTTTGTGACCCCCTGGACCAGAGCACACCAGGCACTCCTGTCTTCCACTGCCTCCCACAGTTTGGTCAAAATCATGTTCGTAGATTCGAGAACACTGTCCCACCATCTCGTCCTCTGTCGTCCCCTTCTCCTTGTGCCCTCCATCTTTCCCAACATCAGGGTCTTTTCCAGGGAGTCTTCTTCATGAGGTGGCCAAAGTCTTGGAGCCTCAGCTTCAGGATCTGTCCTTCCAGTGAGCACTCAGGGCTGATTTCCTTCAGAATGGAGAGGTTTGATCTTCTTGCAGTCCATGGGACTCTCAAGTGTCTCCTCCAGCACCAGAATTCAAAAGCACCCATTCTTCGGCGATCAGCCTTCTTGATGGTCCAGCTCTCACTTCCATACATCACTACTGATGTAGTCCAGATATTATGAGACTCCAACTCCCATCAGCTGCAGCCATCATGGCCAATGATCAAGGACAGTGGCATAGTGTGGGTTGCTGGTGCCTGGGGCGGGCAAGCCGCTAATGCCACTAGAGCACCCCCCCACTGGAGCCAAGCTGTGCCATGCTGCACTGCCTGCCTGCCCACGCAGGGGGGAGTCCAGCCGGCTGACATGACCCTTGGCGGATAACCCCCCCCACACACACACACACCTGCAGAGAGGAGTGCTGGGCTGTGCTGAGCTGGGGTTGCCCCTTGCCTGCCTCCCTCTGTCCGTGCCTGCTCACTGTGGGCCTTGGCTGCTCTGCCAACTTCGCCAGGGTGGGGATCCCTATGGAAGCTGGCGCCTGTCAGGGGGGCCTGGTTGCCTTGCCCCCCCCAGTCTCCTATGCTACACATTGATCAAGGATGGTGGGAACTAGGGCACAACAACATCTGGAAGGCACCACTGGGTTGACAACCCTTGAGCTAGAGCATTTACAATGTTAAGTACGCTTATCAGGAGCTGAACAGATGGGACCAAGCCCAAATAATGTTCAGTTGGTTCTGCTTGGAGCTTAAATGTAAGAATGTGATCAAAATGTAAACCCTATTTGAAACACATGACAGGTATGTGTTTTGTATTGATTATATGTGAGATGAACAACTGCAGTGGATTAGGGGTCTGAACACAGTGGGACATGAGCCACTGGGAATATATCCTGTGCAAACTCCAATGAAACACACACAATTTTATTTTATTGTATTTTTATCCAATTTTTAAGATTAGTACAGTGGTTCCTCGGTTTAAGAACAGTCCTGTTTAAGAACGATTCGGTTTACGAACTCCGCAAAACCAGAAGTAGTGTCCCGGTTTGAGAACTTTACCTCGGTCTAAGAACAGAATCCGAATGGTGGGAGGGCACCGGTGGTGGGAGGCCTCATTAGGGAAAGTGCACCTTGGTTTAAGAACGGTTTCCGTTTAAGAACGGACTTCCGGAAAGGATTAGGTTTGTAAACCGAGGTACCACTGTATTGTCTGTCTCCTGAAAACCTGAGTTGGGCCCTGTTCTCAGACTTATAAACTAAGAGACAAAAACACACGTGGAAAAGAGTCAAGAGGAAAGGTAACCGTAAAGCAAGCATTTAAATCTAGCTGGGACTGGGTCAATCTCCCATTTCCGATGGTCTTACACAGGAGACAACCTCAGTGGATTGTGCCTCAGCCTCTTTCATCCTGGGCAAAAAGGCCTAATCACTCGGCTCTCTATCCTTTTTTTGCAGGACTTGGAGAATGACTACAAATGCACCTGCCCTCAAGGTTTCTACGGCAAGAACTGCGAAGTCAGTGCTATGACCTGCGCCGATGGGCCTTGTTTCAATGGCGGGACCTGTGTGGAGAAACGGATTGGCGGCTACACTTGCCACTGCCCAATGAATTACCACGGTTCCAACTGTGAGAAGAAGATAGACCGCTGCAGTAATAACCCGTGTTTGAACAGTAAGTGTTCCTTTCCTCTCCGCAGTGTTTCATTGCACTAATTACAGGTAAAGGGTAAAGGGACCCCTGACCATTAGGTCCAGTCATGGCTGACTCCGGGGTTGCGGCGCTCATCTCGCTATATTGGCCGAGAGAGCCAGTGTACAGCTTCCGGGTCATGTGGCCAGCAGGACTAAGCCGCTTCTGGCGAACCAGAGCAGCACACGGAAACACCGTTTACCTTCCCGCTGGAGCGGTACCTATTTATCTACTTGCACTTTGACGTGCTTTTGAACTGCTAGGTGGGCAGGAGCAGGGACCGAGCAACAGGAGCTCACCCCGTCGCGGGGATTCGAACCGCCGACCTTCTGATCGGCAAGACCTAGACTCTGTGGTTTAACCCACAGCGCCACCCACATCCCTACACTAATTATGGCGATCCTAATTTGGATTTTGAGTATCACAAATGCAGTAGGGTGTTTTTTTAAGCATATACTTTTAAGAGGTGAACTGCAATCTTGCTGTGTCTTAAGCAAGGCTTCATTTATCTAGCACAGCAGTTGTAAGGTTTTAAAGAATGTCCAGAAGTCTAGGTTCCCCAAAACCTTGCAGGGTACCTTAGGAGGGACATGTAATGGTTAATCACTTTATATTTGGGTAGACATTTCCCATATCTGCATACTATTGTGTCAAAAGTGTCCGTAGCTTTTTGGTACAGAAACCCTAGTGAAGTAGTTTGCAGTTAAGACAGTATTTGTTAATTTATTGTTAAAAAGCAAAGGTTTACAAATTGGCTCTTAGGATAAGTTTTTCAGGGCTATCCTGCTAGATTACCAAAATGTACGTTGAGGCTCCCTAAAGGTAAAGGTACCCCTGACCATTAGGTTCAGTTGTGACCGACTCTGGGGTTGCGGCGCTCATCTCGCTTTACTGGCTGAGGGAGCCGGCGTACAGCTTCCGGGTCATGTGGCCAGCAGGACTAAGCCACTTCTGGAGAACCAGAGCGGTGCACGGAAACGCCATTTACCTTCCCGCCGGAGCGGTACCTATTTATCTACTTGCACTTTGACGTGCTTTCGAACTGCTAGGTGGGCAGGAGCAGGGACCGAGCAACGGGAGCTCATGCCGTTGCAGGGATTCGAACCGCCGACCTTCTGATCGGCAAGTCCTAGGCTCTGTGGTTTAGACCACAGCGCCACCCGCGTCCCTAGGCTCCCTAGGAAGGGTTAAAGTTTGCTTGCATTCTCCCTGCCAAATGCTGTTGGATGATGGCTCCAGTCAGCCCGGTCAATATGGCCAATGGTCAGGGCTGATGGGAGTTGTAGTCCAACTATGTCTGGCGTATACCACCTTGGCTACCCCTGATCTGCACTATGCCTCTTGGTCTCCTCCTCCCCAATATATGAGCAGTGACGTTTTCCCCAGGGACAGAGTGAGCATGTGCCAGGGGACCCTAATGCATCCTGCAGTATAGCTGCAAGTTGTGCAGGGATCTCCGAGGCTTCCTTTCTTACCCAGAAAGACAGACTTAGTCCTGAACTCTGACACAGGGAGGAGGGCAGAGTGTCAGTGTTAATTAAAACTCCCATGCAAAGGCAACAACAGAATATTCAGTTCTCACATGGTGAATTTCACTGGGAGGAAACTGACTTTGCTAATGTGTATAGTACTGCTTGCATAGCATCCCAAAAGACTGACTAGTACGTGCTAGTAACATTCATACCACAAATTGTGAATAATAATAATAATAATAATAATAATAATAATAATAATAACAACATATTATTTATACCTTGCCCATCTGGCTGGGTTTCCCCAGCCACTCTGGGTGGCTTCCAACCAGAATATTAAAATACAATAACCTAATCAAACATTCAAAGCTTCCCTGAACAGGGCTGCCTTCAGATGTCTTCTAAAAGTCTGGTAGTTGTTCTTCTCTTTGACAGCTGGTGGGAGGGCGTTCCACAGGGTGGGCGCCACCACCAAGAAGGCCCTCTGCCTGGTTCCCTGTAACTTGGCTTCTCGCAGGGAGGGAACCACCAGAAAGCTCTCAGCACTGGACCTCAGCGTTCGGGCAGAACGATGGGGGTGGAGACGCTCCTTCAGGTCTACTGGACCAAGGCCGTTTAGGGCTTTCAAGGTCAGCACCAACACTTTGAATTGTGCTCGGAAATGTACTGGGAGCCAGTGTAGGTCTTTCAAGACCGGTGTTATATGGTCTCAGCGGCATAACTTCCATGACAGCAGTGACTGTATTACAGGGACCAACCCAAGGCTCTGAGTTGCCCCACCCAAATCTAGACTTGGAAGATTTATTCTGCAGCCAAGTGCCTTGACGTTGGTTGTTAGAGCTGGAGCTTTGAGCAGAAAGCTGGAGCTGGAAGTCCAGTGATCAGATGATGCTGCTTGGTTGAATTCTCTATTGAAACTCTATATCAGGCCTTATACCAGGGGTCTTCAAACTATGGGCTGCGGGCCGGATCCAGCCCACTAGGCTCGTAAATCCGGCCCACAGACCCTGCTACCCGCTCAGTCAGTCCCTGTGCGCTGAGGTAAACCTGGCATGGCATGGCGTTTCCTTGAAAAGAAGCCGCAGGTGCCTCGCCACACGGGGGTGGGACTGGGTGGGCAGCAGCGCTTCTGCGGCTCCTGGAAGCTCCTGCAGCCATTCGGAGGCCGTGGATGCCTCACCGCACCGGGGCGAGGGGACTGACTGAGTGGGCGGCCTTGCTGGTGAGCGGGCTTGGTGAACACAGCCGCAGAAGGGGCTACGCAGTGGTGGCGGCGGCGGAGAGGCGGGCGTACAGCAGTTGTTGTTGTTTAGTCGTTTAGTTGTGTCCGCCTCTTCGTGACCCCCTGGACCAGAGCACGCCAGGCCCTCCTGTCTTCCACTGCCTCCCGCAGTTTGGTCAAACTCATGCTGGTCGCTTCGAGAACACTGTCCCACCATCTCGTCCTCTGTTGTCCCCTTCTCCTTCTGCCCTCCATCTTTCCCAGCATCAGGGTCTTTTCCAGGGAGTCTTCTCTTCTCCTGAGGTGGCCAAAGTCTTGGAGCCTCAGCTTCAGGATCTGTCCTTCCAGTGAGCACTCAGGGCTGATTTCCTTCAGAATGGAGAGGTTTGAGCGGTAGTGTCAACCTAGTTGGTGAAGTGCGCCCACGATTGCCCGCCAGCCACGTCCCTCCGGGCAACTTTGCTCTCCCAATCGCCTCCTCTTTTTTTTAAAAAAATGATATTTATTGGGAATTTAAAGTTACAGGAAAAAAAGAAAAAAGAAAAGCAAGAAAAAAGAGATTAAACAATACAAATCAATAAAAGAGAATAAAAAGTACAAAACATACAATACACCAAAAATCAAAAACAAGAGCAAAAGAATAAATTTAAAAACAAATCCAATATTCCCATATCCTTATCTTCATTAACTTGTTTCATCGACCTCCTCACACCTCCCTTTTTTGTATTCTAATTATTAATTATCTCAGCAAATCCTTTCCATCTTTCACTGTATTCTGTCCTTTAGATGTCTTAATTTATTTTAGCCTATCTTACCATAAAAAACCCTAGAACTTAAAAACTTATTTATACATAACTCCTTATAACATTTCTACTAAAGCCTAATAGTTTCATTCCAAGATTTTCCTAGCACTCATTAATTTTGCAATATTTCTCTACATGAATTTTTAAGCTTTCTGCCAATCTTCATCCACCGTCTCTTCTTCCTGGTCTCGGGTTCTGTCAGTCCTTTCTGTCTGTTCCATCTAGTCCATCAACCTCCCAATCGCCTCCTCTCTGGCACGCGCTCTTTGGCTCCCACTCCCCTTCAGGTTAGTGCAGGTCGGGGGCTGCCGTTGTCCCGAGAAAGTGCATGAGAGGAGACAACTTTTGCTAAAGGCCGCAGTGAGTCGTGGGGATGGGCGACTCATGGGAAGGCCGCACCATGGGGATCGGGGGTAGGGAGATGTGGGCAGGCTGGCGCATGGGGATTTGGGGTTGGAGGACAGGCGTGCTAGCTGGGTGGTGGTGGATAGGGGTTAGGGAGACACGCAGCAAGTTGGATAGGATAGATAAAACTATTCATGTTAGCCAATGGCCATAGCAACAGTAAAACATTACAGTATACGCAGAGAAGGGAATTTGATATAAGAGCACAATTTAAAGTCCTGAATCAGCCGTCAGTTAGTGGCCCTTATTCTGATTGCCCCTGCTATGAACCTAGCAACCTTTGCTGCTACCTGCTCATTTTGATCTGATAGAAGAAAGGACATTGCGGCAGTGGCTGAGCGCCCTGGGATGGTTAGTACGAGTGGGGTGATGATCTCGTTCCTCAGGTCTTTCTAGAGAGCGCAAGACAGGAGGACGTGTGCCACTGTTTCGGTGCTACCATCTCCACAGGGGCAAAGACGTTTCTCAGGCGGGATCTTTTGGAATCGATCCTCCAGTACCGCAGATGGCAAAACATCCAGTCTTGCAAGTGTAAAAGCATATCTGTATTTTGGGATAATAAGTTTGTGCAAATATGGGGCCAGAGAATCAAAATGGAGAGGTGGAAAATGAGCAGCAAGTTGGGTTGTGAGGTGGGGCTTAAGGAGACACGGGTGCAGGTTGGGTCATGGGGATCTGGGTTAGGGAAGCACATGCATAGGCTGGGACGTGGGGAAGGGGGTTAGGGAGAAGTGTATAGGCTGGGTTGTGGGGATGAGAGTATGTGCAGGCAGACATGTGTATAGGCTGGGTTGTGGGGATCGGGGCATGGAAGGCCTGCATGTAGAATGGGCCATGGGGGTGAGGGTGATCCATGTGTAGGCTGGGTTGTAGGGACAAGGATTAGCGATATTGACCATCTCTTTAGCCAAAAGCAGGCCCATACTTCCCACTGAAATACTTGTAAGTTTATTAAAATTGTCCTTCATTTTAAATACTTATTGTTTTTCCGGCTTTTTGTGCACGACAAATAAATTACCGTATTTGTCGCTCCATAAGACGCACCTAGTTTTTAGAGGAGGAAAACAAGGGAAAAAATAT